TTGATGCTGTAGACGAGGGGAAATTCCTGGAGTGATGTCCTTGAGTAGAGAAGAAGGTATGGCATCTAGGGCACAGGTGGAACACCTAGCCTAAGGTGGGAACATAGGTATTCTCTTTGCTTCTTCCTCCCTCCCTTATTTCTCTGACTGCCACAGTGACCTCATTTTCAGCCTTCCTACCTTGTCTTATAACCCTCTCATGGTGCATAAATTATTTTGTCTCCTGATGTACACTTAGCCCTTTTTTTCGTAAAAAAGAAAACAATATATATATTCATAGCATTCTTCACTGTAGAGTGAGGCTAAAATATAGGCACTGTCTATTACCAGTTTTGTTGTATGGTTAAATGAGATTTTGTACAGAACATCCCTTTGGAAGTTGTCCATCCTTGAACTTCATCTTAGAATGGAAGGAACAAATCATTATCGAAACTGCAACAGTGTTAGCCGGTGCTTACTGTGTGTAGCTTTCTTTCCTTGTCTTTTCTCTTTGCCTATGCTATATTGAATGACCAAATATTTTCTGCTACTGCCAACTGACACTTTGAGTCTGATGTCTAAATGTTATCTGACCTGCTGGGAGAATTCAGAGCCCAAAAGTCTACTATTCTGGTCAGGTGTTAAATTTGTCACTGAATACATTAAGCCTAGAGTGATTTGTTTGAGGAGACTTGTTAGAATGAGAGCAAATAGCACCACCTGCTGGAATGAATAGGAGAGGAGGAAGAAATACCAAGTGCTGTCCATGGTTCTGTCCAGTTCAATGTTTTGTCACTCAGAGGAAATCATGACTCAGGTTTATTCAAAGTTAATTTCTGTTATCTTATACTTGTTTCCGATGTCAATATGCCACCTCATGCATTTCTCTTTTAATGTCTCTTTTCTCCTTATAGTGATGCAATATCAAAAACTATCATTAAGTCTAACTTGTATTTAATTTTATTATTTCTCTTAGAATATTTTGGAATTAGATCATAGGATGATGGCATTTGAAGGAAGCTTAGAGATCACTTAGTTCAGTGTTTCAAACACATTTTGTACACAGAAACTGGAAAGCTCTTGTACTTCTTATTTCAGAAACCAATAATTAGGGCCCAAACAGGTGAAAAGCCAAAGCCTAGAATATTCAAATATACTGGTTGCTAAACCCTCCGCTATATCAGTTAAGATGCATTCAGATGCAATAAAAAATGGCTTATACAATAACATATATCTCTCATAAGGAGTCTTGAGGTGGCTAAAGGAATAACTTAGGGCCTTAGCAATGTCACCAAAGACCCAAGTTCATCCCATTGACCTCCATGTTCTACTTGGTGTCTGGTGTTTACAAGGTAGGTTCAGCAACATTAGGAACCGTAACCTTCACTCAAGACCAAAAGGCAGAAAGGGACTGACTATTTCTCTAATAAGCTAAGAAATTTGTCCTAAAAGACCCCCTCAAGAATTCCTCTCATGTCTTATTGGCCAGGAGAGCATAATATGTCCCATCCTAATGAGTTTACTGTCAAGGAGCATGGAATTGGCACATTTGATTTAGACAAATCCAAATTCACCCTCCGGGCCTAGTGTGGGGCCATTCTTACGTGATACATAAAATTCTGTGGAAGCACATAGATGCCTGGGCAAAATTGGGTGAGCTCACAAAGGAAAGATGGGGAGTGGCTAATTGTTGGGGGGAAATTTCCATGAGTCTCTCTCATTTCTGCTTGACTTCTGAGCACGAAGCATTGATAACTTTGTTCATACCCTTTTAAGGATCCATGTATAGATGACTTGGAAGATAGTGTTTTCCTAAAAAACAGAGGGCAGATTTGTTTTCTGACCAAGATAAGCTCATGTGTCTCCTCAGGGCAACAGTTGAGCAGGTTTGCTGGCAGCCCTTTGAAAAGACCGTGGTTCCCTAAGTTCAGAATTCTTGATACAAACTCCTTCTGGGCTGCTTCACATACCTCAGTGGGGCTATGGGAAACCCATGTGAACAAGAAGTTCATGTTTCCTGTTCACTGTGAATAAAAAAGTCCTTTGTATCTGCCCCATGTGTCTCCTGTCTTCAGCCAGCATCTGTGAAATTATGGCAGGCTGACTTGTTTGGTTGCAATTAGGATGAATCTCTGATGCTTCCTCATTCTTGATACTAATGGAAAGGCAACTGTTAGTATTTGCTACAGTATTATTTCCAATGAACCACACCAGATACATCCAAGTCCCAAATACTTTCTTCTGGAAATAAGAATATTTTCAGTATGGAAGGAATTCCTTTTCCACAGGCAGAAACAGGGCAACACTTAGTCTACAACTAGAGACGCACATTAAGCAAGGACAGAGTCACTAGGTCTGGTGTCTTTCATGCTGCCTCCCTTTTATTCGCTCTCCAACTCTCTGTGTAATTATCTCTTTTAAAATGTCAGTTCCTCTCACCCAGAAGACCAGAAGCTATCAGCCACACACTGAACTTAGAAGCTTTTAAAGTGTGCTTGCCATTTGCCTGGGAGACGGGATTTCTCAAAGGCATCCCTTAGCAATGTCAGGGAAGCTCACATGGAATGACTGAGAAAAAGGAACCCTTTGCTTGGCTCTCACACTGGCCTTGCAGTCCCCTTCCCCAGAAAGCACCCAAAGGGAAGAGGAGTGTGCTGGAACTGTGAATACTGCTTCAGCAAAACCCAAATGGATGCTCTTTAAAGAGGGTCATGCTCTCAGAGGATCTCAGTCTTGAGGTCCTGAGTCTCTCTCATTGTCCCCTGACTAAGCTACAGCAGAATTTGCTCCTCTAGAAGGAAACATTGATGTTAAGAAGAGCCATAGTCCAGAGGAAGAAACAGGGGATCCAGTGTGACAAGCCAAGAAAAAGTATGTGTATTTCCCAGTTAACTTCTGGTCCTTGGAGTTTCTCTAAATGGTGGCATTTAAAGACCTGGACAAGAATTCATCATAGAAAATTAGAGCAGCATCTATCCCTCCGAGTCAAACCTTAGGGTTAAACTCAATTTATCCCTAGATTCTATTTCCCTGATGGCTGTTGATACCTTTAAAACAAAACAATCTTTTCTACTTAGCTCAGGAAACCTTGTACTCTTGCTGTTCTGACAACTTACATTTTAAAATGCATCTGCTAAAACATAGTACTACGAGACCATAACAGATTCAGTCTTAAGACTGGGGATGCTTTCTCCCCCTTGACTATACCAGAAAGACAGGGAAAGATCATTCAGTGGATGAGTCATAGGGTTGTCAACCTGCATTCTTATTTCCTTAGAAACCTTCATGAAGGTCACCGGCCTCCATTGAGTCACAGTGACCCCTGGAGGCAGGAGCTCCTAATTTGCAGGAGATATTTCACTAGAATGTGTGCAGGAACCGCCACAGGTGTTGAAATTAAAGTTCCCTTACTGGTGACATAAAAGATCAAAATTCCTCAGTACAATTAGGTTGATTAAATTGAGCTCCGCATCTAATATCCCTGTAGCTCAGTAATGTTAATGCAGCTTTCAGAGGTGCCTGACCCAGAGGCAGGGAACAGTCCAAGTCCTGGGAGAATCTGGCCCACTGTGGTTTTTAAATTAGAAGTTTGATTGCTTGTGACATCATCTCAAAATGGTACCCGTCCAGAGAAGCTGAATTTTCCATTTAGCCTAGAAAAAAATTAAACTGCTTAGAGATTAGGCTCTTGGTAGATAGAGGGACTAAATCTCTTTATGAGCAAAGTTAGAAAATCTGGTGGGCCACCTCTTTAAGATGGAAAAGAATTCACCAAGCCCGAGGAGCTAGGGACATGTGCTGCCTCTCCTGCCAATTGCAAGAAAAATATACATTTAAAAACCATGTTTATAATACATTGAGAACTTTAAAAAAAACTAAAATGTGAAGCAGGGAAACTGCTTACAAGCAAAATTGCCTAAGCAACCACCAAATCCATTTTCTATTGTTGGTGGTTTATTGCAGAAGGAGGCTTATTTGCAGCAGATCTATGAAAACAGATTGATTGTGGTTAGTGCTGGAGGGTAGGTGACCAGAAGGATCCAGCATCGCAGGCGGGGAATGACCCAGGTGTGCAATGAATGATTCCCGAAAGGAGGCTGTTAGGCATGGATGTGGAGCTGCCTTTCGGACAGCCACACATAGTCTGAAGAAGGTGCAGGTCACCTTCATTGACATTCATCAACAATTCATGACTCTCTCACTTCCAGTAGGAACTGCAATGATTAGATTAATGAAAAGAAGTTGTGTGAATTCCCCAAAAGCAGTAGCTCTCTATTAATATATTTCCAGGGAGCTTTTTAAAATACCAATGCCTCCACCAGACCAACTGAGCCAGAATCTCTGGGGATGGAGGAGGAAGAGTGTTTTATTAAGCTCTTCCTGGGAGTTACTGAAGAGTTAGATTGGGCTCTAGATGGTTTGGCTCAGTGGATAGAGCGTCGGCCTGCGGACTCAAGGGTCCCAGGTTGAACTCCAGCCAAGGGCACATGCCCGAGTTGGGGCTTGATCCCTCCCAGTAGGGGGCATACAGGAGGCAGCAAATCAATGATTCTCTCATTGAGGTTTCTCTCTCTCTCTCTCTCTCTCTCTCTCTCTCTCTCTCATCCTCTCCTTCCTCTCTGAAATCAATAAAAAAAATATTTTTTTAAAATCCAGGCTCTGAAAAATCTGGCAAGCCTGGGTTCACATCCCGACTTCATTATTCATGAAATCTAAGACCCTCCCCATGTGCTTAACTTCTCCAGACCTCAGTTTTCTTATCTAGAGTCAATGATGGTAACTTCTCCATAGGCCTCTAAAGATAAAGGAAATAAATGTATGCCTGGCCCACGATACAAGTCTGTTTTCCTCCCTTTGGTTATTCATCCTTATTGATCCTTATTCAAATGATTGTTTTTCATGGACCTTTGTAGCAAGTAACAGACTTAGGTTATTTTTCTCTCCCTGTTTTGTTTTTCTTCTGCTCTTTGGTATCTGGGGGGAGAATATTCACGTGCTTTCCATGCTTTCTGCTTCTCCAGCTGCCACAGAAGTGTCCTTCTCATTTGATGTTGGAAATGGGCCCGTGGAGATTGTGGTGAGGTCGCCCACCCCTCTCAATGATGACCAGTGGCACCGGGTCACCGCGGAGAGGAATGTCAAGCAGGCCAGCCTGCAGGTGGATCGGCTGCCACAGCAGATCCGAAAGGCCCCGACAGAGGGTCACACCCGCCTGGAACTCTACAGCCAGCTGTTTGTTGGTGAGTAATGGCAAGGCCACCGTCATTCCCCTCTGCTGGTGTTACTAACCTTCACAATGGAAAAAATAAAACCCCCTATGGAGTGCTTTGCAGGAGATCTTTCTAAAAGTAATTATCTAGGCCTCTTGTAGTCTCTCCCCAGACAGAATGGAGAGAGAGAGAGAGAGAGAGAGAGGATTCGAGTGACCGATGTCCAGTTCCACTTCCCACCGTCTGGAGCCCACAGTCCTTGTCTCCAGAATCGGAGGGGAGCCAGTGACATCTCTGAGGTCTCTACCTATGCAACTTTAGGTTTATGGTTTTAAAACCATATAAAATCCTTTGATAATTTGGAACACTTGTAACTGAGCAAAGGAAGGAAGGAAGGAAAGGATGGAGGGATGAAGGGAGGGAATATGGGCTCCCTAAATTCAGGCTTGCTTGAAACGATAAGTAGAAACCCATTCCTTCCTTTAGACTTCTTGCAAAGATTCCTCCTACATTGGAGAAAGATCAACACTGGGAAGAAATTTAAGCAGCAAACTGTTAAGCGGCCTGTGCAAGAAATAGGTTCAGCCTCACAGCTAGTCTTTGCTTTGACCTGGTCCAGCTGGACCTGATGCTACTTCACATCAAGTCCTATTTCCATAGCTTGTTCAATTTTAAATTTTGTTTTCCGAAAAAACTAACAGTTTAGGAAATTAGCCATTTCCTCTCTGTTGAATTAAAAGAGAGCAAGTTTGGCCCTAGCTGGTTTGGCTCACTAGTTAGAGCTTCAGCCTACAGACTGAAGGGTCTCTGGTTCAATTCCAGTCAAGGGGATGTACCTTGGTTTCAGGCTCAGTCCCCGCCCTGGTCAGGGTGTATGCAGGAGGCATCCAATCAATGTGTCTCTCTCACATGGATGTTTCTCTCTGTCTCTCCCCCTCCCTTCCACTCTCTCTAAATAAATCAATAGAAAAAAATAATCCTTGGGTGAGGATTAACAAAAAAAAGCAACTTTGAAGGACTTTGAGGCCGGATTCTACCTTATGCCTTACACACCCAGCCGCCCCCTCTCTCTGAGTTTCTGGAGGTGAATTGAGCAAGTTGACCAACTGTGACAAGTTCAGACCAAGCAAAAGCAGAGGTGACCTGGTTGCTGTCCGTATTCATAACCCCCATTGCCCTATAGCAGAGACTCATCAGGGATCAGTTCATTTTAACAAGGGCCAGAGTGCCCACGGTGTCTTTCCTAGTTGTGTGAAGATGCTTTAAGAACATTAGATTTACAATAGCTAAGATCTGGAAACAGCTCAAGTGCCCATCCATAGATGAGTGTAGAGATATGGTACATTTACACAATGAAATACTATGCAGCTATAAAAAAAAAAAAGGATCTCTAACTCTTTGAGACAGCATAGAGGGACCTGGAGAGAATTATGCTAAGTGAAATAAGCCAGTCAGAGAAAGACACACTATCTCACTTATATGTGGGATCTAATGAACAAAATAAACTGACGAACAAGATTGATCCAGAGACATGGAAGCATGGAGCATAACAAATTTCAGAGGGAAGGGGTGGGGACAGGAAGAGATTAACCGAAGAATTTGTATGTATATATGCATAACCCATCGACACAGACAATAGTGCAGTGAAGGCCTACAGTTGGGGGCAGGTGTGGGTCGGGGGGGGGGGGTCAGTGGGGAGGAAGAGGGAGATATCTATAATAATTTCAACAATAAAGATAATTTTTTTAAAAAAAAGGAAACATTAAAAGTCACAAAAAGAAAGGTAAATTTAGATATTCACTTGTTTGCTGTGATGTGGGCCAACTACAGAGCGTTAGCTTAGTCCATTCATTTTGGAGGTAAGAGTGGCTTGTTAAAAAGCCATGTCAGCCAGGGGCCAGGAAAGAGGCCTGGATTGTGAAGCTGACTTCTCCATGTCAACTAGAACTCAGCCCATTCCAAATCCTTCTCTCAATTTATAATTCTCAAAATTACATCGTTTTTAAATTATTTTGTATGAGGTAAACATCAGGTTCACTGATTCCTGCTAAATAATGTGAGCAAAGTTCACTTTATCAATATGTCCTGCCCAGATTACCTATGACAGGTTTCTTCCAAAACCCTGTTAGTCTCAAGCATGCTGATTAGGTTCTACCTGGTTTTCAACTCTAATTGACCAGTTTCTCTTTGTTTATTTTTTGAACTTGTCCCTGGATGTAGAAGTCCAACTTTACTGTTATCACTTCCTGCTCACTGACTATAGTTGTCTTTCAGAAATTTGGAGACTAAGTAAAGTCATGAAACAGAGAGGTTTAGGTGGAGCATTTATTACGGTCTTGGAAAAGTTTTGATTTGTTTAAACAAGAACAACTTATTAAAAGAGAAAAATAGAGAGCTGGGGCAAGATTCGGTAGAATAATTAATTGTAAGGGACAGGCAAAAAAAATAGCATTTCAGGAAGAAGAATAAAGAGGAACAGAAAGGACAAGCAAGGAAAGGAAAAACGGGGGGGAGGGTCACAGGAGTTTTGTGAGATTCCCCCTGTTTATTATGACAATAAAGAACAAGTGTCGTGCATTAAATTAGACTAGAAAGTGTCCTTTGAAGTTAGTAATTATGAAAACATAATTGGAAGGAAAAGTTTCAGAACAGTAGACTACCTGATGGGTCGACACCTCTTTTCATTTGATGAAAAAAGAATAAGTTTCATGTCTCAGTCTCTAATTTCCTGTTATCTTCAAGGTGGACACAATGCCCATCTCCCAGACATTTAAGCCAATATGAACAATGTTTTCTGCAATAGAAGCCCACTCCATGGGAAGTGTGGAGAGGTGTTTGTTGCCAGAAAAAAAAAATTTCACAACTGTGAAATCCTGGAGTCAGTTATCCCAAGACTGTTCAGTGGGGATCCAGACAACTTGAGTTGTTCTCAGTTCTACTCCAATAAGAAGTATCAGGTTGACCAAGTATTATCACTTTCCCTTTCTGAATCTTTTTTTTCCCATCTGCCTAATAAGCATTTGAATTATTTGGTTCCCAAAATTTCTTCCTATTTTAACCATTTAAGATTATGTGTTTAGAGATGGTTAAAAAGGCCTGAGCTGCCAAGTGGTTCTCCTTTCCACAGTGTCACGTGGTTGACATTGGGGGCTTTGAATCCCACCTGCGCCCACCACTTCCTAGCTAGGAGACCACTGACAGGTTCCTTAATGTTTCTGTGTTAAAAAGAGACACAGTTTCTGCGTCTCAGGATGCGATGAGATAATCCATGGGAAGCAGTGCACACACAGAGCTCCTGGCATCATCCGTATGCATTGAGTCACTTCTCTATGTTTTACCTTTACTCTCAGCTTTCTTCTTCTTCCATGTAATGTTCATCTCCTCCATGGTTGCCTGGAGCCTCAGCCAGCCCACGGACTCAGAACTAAGCTCAGGGTGGCAGCCTCGGGCAGCCCTGGGCCAGATTTTTCCTTGTGTTTGGAGAGCAGCAGCGATGCTCAAAGTCATTATCTAAGCGTGAATACCAGGCTGGATTAAGCCAAAGCCTTTTGTAGCATGGAGCCCAGCCAGGGAGTTTGGGGCTCTGGCCATGGGTGCATGGTGGCTGGGCTGTGAGGCCTAGAGCCCCATGGCCGGCCTAGGAACTGGCCAGAGAGTTGACAAGTGTGAGCTATAGAAGACAGGACTATGCAGGGCAGGTGGCTGATGGAAAGGTGAATTTTCAGTCAGCTTCAGCCAGGCCAGAGCATGTAACTGTTCTTGGGGTAGTTTATGGAGGTGGTCAGAGTTCAAGAGAGCTGAGGGGGGGCCTCAGGAAGGAGCCAAGCTCCTAAGTGGCTCATAGAGAGAGAAGGTTAGGTCCTCTTAACTAATGAGAATGTCCAGGCTCAACTCATTTGGCTCAGACATCTTCCAAATTGCCCTGAGGGTCAGGGGGCCATGCTTCTGCGCAAGATGTCAGCCCAAAGGAGCCGAAAAATTAATTCTCACTCTTTCAGGATCTTTTGTGCTGCGCGGGAGGCCCGGTTGGTGACTCAGAGTAGAAGCAGTGTTTTCATGAGGGCTAATGGGGAGCAGGGAAGCTCACTGACTCCCATTTTCATGGAGCCCAAAAATTGGGGTGACCTTTGACATCCTCTCTTTCCTGCATTACTGCCCATCAATACTAAGTCTGTGATTCTACTTCCAGACTGAGCCCAGATGCATACCCTCTGCTCTGCTGACAGAGGTCCCACCCCGGTCAAGGCCATATGCTTCTTACTTGGACTACTGCAATTAGTCTCCTAACTGGTCTCCTAACTAGTCTCCTAACTGGTCTCCTAATTGGTCTCCTAACTGGTCTCCTGACTAGTCTCTTAATTCGTCTCCTAACTAATCTCTTAACTGGTCTCCTTACTAGTCACCTAACTGGTCTCCAGAGTCTTCAGGTGTCCCTCAAGTACCCCAAGCTTTCTCCTGCTTTAGAGCATTTGCACTGGCTGTTCCCTCTGCCTGAAATACCTCCCTAGACATTGACACAGCTGACTTGACTCCTTCACATCACTCATCTCTGCTTTGGTACCTCCTCAGAGAGGCCTTCTCTGACCACTCTGTCTAGAGTTATTTACCATTATGCATTCTCCTTACAACTTGTAATCTTTTAAGTTTTTGCTCCCCCCACCCCAGAAGGTGAGCTACATGACATCCAAGATCTAGAATAATGCTATGGTGCTTGTCCAATGACTATTTGCTGAGGGAGTCCTCAAATGAATAAATAAATGAAATATGTATTTTTTGTTACTTCTTTTAGTTAATAGTTATATTCAAACTTAGTTCATCCCATCTCCAAAGAAAGAAGGTATTTTTCCTTATAAACTTTCTCCAAAATTCTTCTCTCAAAATACGGTATTTGCCATCTTTGGAAGTATCTTTTTGCTAGGTGCCACAGACTGAAATCAGGCATGACAAAAGCCTGAAAAAAAAAGCCACAGAGAAAGTCAGACTGTTATGAAAGACAGCTTCTCAGAGCGGTCTGGGCCCTAGATCTAGTT